GAAAGCGGCGCAGCCGCAGATAACACTCGCTATTACGATAACGACTGAGAAATCATACTTCGTCAGAAATGTACCGCTGATTGCGACTTTTCAAGGCTACCTACTCTTTAGCGCTTTCCTGAGCTCTGGATTGTATGTATCGCGTTCACAACGAGAAGGGGGAATGACCTGCATCTGGTGCAGCTGTACAGCTCTACTGTTTGTTAACGTAGGCCTCGATGCCGGCTATTTACACGACCCCATTCTTTGTTTGTCAGGCACTGTAGCTGCTCTACCAAGTTATACCACGGAGTATGTATTCGGGAAAACAGTACTCAGATTGTGTGTGTTACTTTGCATCTACTCTGTAATGCATGAGTATGCACATGCTGCCCGGGTGCTGTTTTCTCGTATACAAATTCTGTGGTACATAGCTTGGTCAAGCCGGTACAATAAAATCTGAATTGTATAAGCAACATTTTTGTAAGCTGAGTCCGTTGTATTAGGAAAGCCAAATATAATCCGATGATACCGTCTTACTTTACGATTCAAACATTATTATTAGAACTCGTTGAGAACATAATTTTACCAAAGGTATAGCGAAAGGTGGTGAAAACATAGTTATCGTGCAGCACCGGCTATTAATTTTCACATTGCCGAATTAGAACCAATGTTTACTGAAAAATGAATCACTCCAAAAACTGGATTTTTCCTTCAATTCTCTTGGCATCCGGTTTTGTGATCCCAGCATCTGCAACACTTAGTGAGTTCAGTTGTGGTTTCGACGCCAGTTTATGCAGCGGATGGTCTGTGAAAAGCAGTCATGCTTACGTTTCCTGGATATTTTCTGCCAGTTCGATTCTGCAAAGCGATTTTTATCAGAATGTATCATCGCATGATGGTAAGCGCGTTATGGACACTTAAATATCAACAGAAGTGCCCCTTCACGAGCGGTTCTAAACTACAGATATAATGATGCGCCTTCTCGGGAAAAGCTTGTGCATTGCATTTTAACAAAATTAAAGAAACGTTTTTGGACCTGTCTTTGATAAAATAACCGTAAATGCGCCACGGAAATATGCATTTGTGCCGAACCGTGTAATGAAGCTGCTTCCTAATTCACAAAAAGGCAGTATTTTGGCAGCACGTTAGTATCTGTGGTGGCATAACATTGTGCGACTGCAGCTTTTAAAAAAATCAAATCATTTATTCCGGCGTTTTCCTTTCAGGAACAAGTTTCATGTATGTACCAAAAGTAAATCGAACGAGCAGTGATAACATCTGGACTGAAGTTACTACTCAGCCTTGGACGCCAACCAATGGGACCGCGGTGGATTTGCTAATCACCTTCTGGTACCTTATACCAAGGTGGTACGGGAGTCTGGCGCTGCACTATCGCACTAATACTACGGTTCGCTCACAAGGAAAGGATCACGACTCGATATTGTGGATACTCCGAGAGAATACCCATAGAGATGGGAAGGTGAAACTACAATGGTATCGTGCAGAAGCTGTGTTACATGCTGAACAAGCAGGATCTCTAGTATTCCGGGCCACTTTTGGCAGGTTTATCGACACCTTCGGATTGGACGATGTGAACACAAATGGTAACATTTAGCTTCCCTTTTATTTTTGTCAGCTTATGAGTAACAGAAAATCTGTGAAATACGTACACCTTTGTATGAAAAATTTGTACGTGACTCAGAGGTTTAAGAAATTCGAAATTACCCCTTGTCGAGGGGAGAAAATTCCCCATCCGAACTTGTTTTCTCATACACGAAGAGCCATCCAAACCATCCAGACAGCTAAAATTTCCGCCTGGCAGATTGCTTTTGAACTGTAAAACGAGAAGAAGCCGCTAAAGCCTCCTTCTTAAATTTTGCCCATCCAATGTTGTTACGGTGGGGAGCTCAGTGAATGGAGCAGCCGCTTTCTTTGGCTGACGATGTAGAAGTTACGGCGTGTACTGTTACGCACTTCCTATGAAAACGATCAGTTTTTTGGAACGTGTTTCGGCTATGACAGATATGTATATATGGGGTAAAACCAATCTACTCGAACCGTGCCACTGTACAGCTGCCGTCACCCGGCTGGAGTTTTACGTTGTGCCTAAACAGTAAGCATGGTGCTAATGTACCACGACTGATTTAATCATATGTACTGCCGTAACGTTCACACTCCAGGCGGGTGACAGCAACAGTACAAGGAAACGGTCCGAGTAAAATGGTGTGTCCCCTTATAAGTCGCTGTACTGCCTGTACAGTCATGTATATGTAATTGTACACATACCGTAATTATTAAATTTGTGGCTTCCCCGCAATAAGGACCCCATGAAATAAGTGCTCGTCCCGGAACCACTTGAAAAATAAGGCCACACCCCCGAAATTACGCCCCAGGAGGCCGTTAACGTCAAGCGCTGCAATATTGGTATGCCGCAAACTGCTTCACAAAAATGATGATTTAATGGCAAGCAGTAAACGGGCATCAACATAGTGTGGTGTTGGCAAGCAGTTGTATAGGTACTGTATATGCTCCATAATGTTGCTCACAACGTTGTTCAGTGCATACCGGTAAGACGGTAGTTACTGCATTAAACTTCACTAAGTTTACTTAGTTCACTAGAACCGGATGCGCAGTTGCATGAAATATAATGCCCCCCTCCAAAATATATTTCAGTTAGTTCAGTACTAATTGAAAAATATTGCCATCCCCCCGAATTTCGCCCCCGTCCCGAAATAAGGCCCCTTCCGCCAGGGCCTTCAAACTATTTCACCCCAGGGCCACAAATTCGATAGGTACGGTATGTGTAACATGTTTTAAATATGTATGGTATATATACGAGTATAGGTATGTATGTACAGATCTGTATTCTATATTTTTTCCATCAAGAAGTTCACATTTTGTCTCAGAGAACAGCGTTCTCCCGCGGCGCTCATATTTACCTGTACACAAAAGTGACAAAACACTCGCCTGCATCAGTTTCATGCCGCACGTTCTGGTCAGGCGATATCTCACGTGGACGTTCTCGTCCTATTGTAATTTCGCACCCTGACATCTGACAGAATTTACGGTAATTTCGCATTCGGAAGTGTTGGACTAAATGCCGAAAATATGAAGAAACAAGAAACGAACTTCGACCATGTCAAAATAACGTCTTGTTTCGTGTCAAGGAACTGACGTGGGCAGACATATCGTATTGACTTTTGAGTAACTAGAAAATTAATGGTGAGCAAAATTTACAGTAATTATTTGGATGGCTCTAGACTGACGTATGCACGATGCAGCATGTTCTCTTGGTCACACAAGCTGATTATTTGTTAAAGAAATGTAATGCCGAACGATATTTTCACAGCTCTCCCATCCGAAGCCCGTGAAGCATTAGCTTCAGTCTCCTGCAAATTCAAAACCAGCATGTGTGGATGGATAAATTACTTTGACGCAAATTTTCACCTGGAACAGTCAGTGTCCAGTCACTATGTGGTAGCTAGGCATTCCGGAGCGCAGCACGTCCATCCGGTGTATGGTAATTACAGTCCACGACTTGGGAGCGTACCAATCACGACACCCTCAGCGTTAAATACTACGTTTCGGTTCCGATATTACTTTAGTGATGCCAGTGTTTGGTTCCTGCGCTTGCATAAGTCCGAGGTTAATGATGAGATTATTCTTTGGGAAATCAAAGCACATTCAGAAAATATCGCACGGTGGATTACCGTTGAGCTGCCGGTATGCTTGAGCAGTAATACCGTTCTCCGTTTTACGACTGCCATCAGGCAAGAAGGCTCCGAAGTCCGCCTGACGGATTTTGATTATTACGGCGAATTTAATGCATCACTCGCTGTGCCGCATCACTGTCCTGGAATATCTTGTACGTTCGAGGAGTCAATGTGCGGTTGGACAAATGAATACAGTGTCTCATCCAGGTACATAAACCTGAACAACAACTAAGTAGACAGACATGTACAGCACAGTAAATATATGCACAGTAAATGCAGACATATAAATGGACGACTTTAAATAATTTTTACTACGACGGCACCTGGATCTGTATTTCAACTTTCGGAAATATATTTGTTAAACTGCTTGATTTAAGAGCCTTTCTGTACTCGTACACCTTTTGCCTATAAAACTGATTAAAGGGATAATTATGATTTTGCAAGCGGTCACTAACAGCGGCACACAGTTACGTATTATCAAGCAAACTACGAGTATCATTTACACGGAACGTCGATGATGCTGCCCTTTGCAACACTTCCTGTATGAAGTGTTAGTTGAAAAGAAATACTAACTATTTTTTCGCAGATGGATGCGCAAGGCTGATCTCGATAACAGAACAGACGCACATGGTTTATTCGATCTGATTGCTGAACGCCAAGTAGGGCTATCAACATCCGTAGCTCGCCTGGTTAGCAACTGCATCAGTATCGCTAACCGTACCAGATTCGGAGATTCACACACATCAGTAATTGGTGGTCTGACATACAACATCAAATACTTCCATGCAAACTATTCGGAAACATCTGTCGGCGTGACGGCACATGATACTGCCGGGACCATTTGGCTACCGCCCGCTCAAGCAGTCAGATTAGTAATTGAGTACATTATTCCATCGGATGCCGTGACGATGCCCAGAATACCGCTTTTACATCTCGAAAACGAAGGATTCAGCGCCATTTATTCGGAAAACTGTCCTGACTATCCTCGGGAACCTCTTCAAAGTGCTTATCCGCGCATTTTAACCGCTAGCTGTACTTTCGACAGAAATTTCTGTGGGTGGGAAAATAAGGGCCCGCAGAACTTCCTATTACTTCCAGGCTACATGGGCCTTTCGACTTACGAAGGCGCCGGTAATGCAGCAGCGGCTCTTATGCTTCACTCAGCAAGTGGCATGGTCTTCGGACCTTTAAGGTCACCGGTATTGAGTGCTGGTCGGCAGCAACTATTTTTCTTCTACCGTTTTGATGAATTTGTGGAATCTGCTGGCTTATTTTTGGACAATGCCGGTACACTTGCATCAGTTTGGTATGAAATTGAAGAGCCAGTTAACTGGAATAGATGGATGCCGGCGAGGATCAGCTATTGTGTAGAACACAATCACACACTGGAATTCATTGTGCGGTTTAAGTAAGTTCAACATTCTTGAAAACGCGATTTCCTACGATAAGAAGCTGACTTATAACTGGAATTATCTATCTGCATGTAACAGAAAATACAACACCAGAACAAACGGCTTCTGGATAGACGAACTAATCTTGAATGACGAGGACAAAAACAAAGCAGGGCAAGAGGGATGCAGTTTGGCTTTACTCCCATCGGTAAAAACCTCAGTGACATGTGATGGTTCCGTCCTGAGCCCCCTGCTTCCTCCCATGTTTTGTGGCTGGAGCCTGAATAGCAGTGACAACTTGCAAGCCGCGATACAACCGGAAATTGGCTTTGAAATGAGCGATATGCTGGTACAGGGGACCAATGTGCTGACCTATCGGCTCGCTCCTAACAGCCATAACTCATGGATTGAGCTACGGAGTCCGAAAATTACCGCCAATTACAACGGACGGTTGATGATATGGTACCTGCCCCGGAGACAGCCGTTTTGCATTCAGACAAGAGCGTTGTATAGCCGCGGCGGTAGGCCAGTTTCCTTGCCTTCTGGCACTGTACCTTGCGGTCGCAAGGCCGTTCGCTGGCATAGACTGGATATTACTTTTCCCAAGGAATTGCAAAATTATATCATACAGGTACAAATTGCTTCCAAGTTCCATGTCATCTTCACCTCAGCTATCTATTGTATGTCATCTTCACCTCAGCTATCTATTGTAACTTCTCTAATAAACACTAAGCCATCGATGAAGATTTTTAGCGTAAAAAAGTCTTGGTTATGTGACTTATGTCCACTTCCAGGTTCAGTTACGGATCATTTTCTCCTATAGCAAGCGATATCAAGACGGTCGCCTACAGTCTGAAAAATCGGATTTTTCCATACTTCAAGCGTGGTATTCACTTGAAGAGGGTCAGTGGTTACGCCGGCGCACATTAGTGATAAAATGCTTTACCCGAATCATTCCACATTTGATAGGGTACCAACCCGACCGCCAAATCGACCGCCTACCAGGCTTTGGTAATGATTTAAAATATACAATAACAAAACACTTATGGGCCCCGGGTCGTAGTGCCAAATTGGTGTCCGTGCACGAAACTTTCGCTTCACGAACTCCTAAACAATTTTTTGCATTGTGTAATGGCATTGTATACATAAATACATAATTTGTAAGTATTAGCATGAAAGCCGTTTGTACGATCAAAGGCCACTTAAAAAGTTAAGTGCAAAACAAAATTCCGAAGTTCAAATACATATATTAATGTACCAAAATTCTCAAATTCAATCGATCTTTTTCAAATTGTGCATAAAAACGTGTACATCAACAGAAAAGAAGTTTTTATATGGAATCAGGCTCAATTTTTAATCTCCACCATGTTTTTAAAATTTTTAATAATGTTTTAAAATTTTTGGTGCAAACGATTTTAAAAAATTGGTGCAAACCAGTTTCATAAGCAAAATTTGAAGGATATCGGGCAATAATGAGACTTTTGATACACCTAAATACATTAAACGGTCTGACAGCCGTAATTCCGAAACTGGATGTTGCGCGCAAAATGGTTTTCACGCCAATGTATATATATATATATATATATATATATATATATATATATATATATATATATATATATATATATATATATATATATATATATATATATATATATATATATATATATATATATATATATATATATATATATATATATATATATGCAAATCCTTGGCTGCACATTAAGTCAATGCATAAAAGTGCCTTTGAGCGCGCCAGGGCAAACGTTTTGGTCCATGCACGCGAATTTAGATCTATGTACCGGGTCACTTCCTTTAAGTATTTCTTGACTGTTACAAAAAAATTTTTTCCGTGCATTTCGGCAGCGACGTGTCAGGACTCCATCTATTTCAACGTTACTTGCTCGTTTGAGGGGAATGAAACGTGCATTTGGCTGTCGGAAAACAATACGACCAGCTGGAGGGAAGTAGAAGGCCAGTTTGGGCCAGATCCGTTCGTCGTACCTGAACTACTGGCCAATGCAGCTGCCCGATTTATGGGCTTCAGTGGTACTTCAACGAGAAGCAGCGCTCTGCGGACGGGTTTTATCGGCCCGCAGCAAACCAGATTGCGCTTTTCCGTGTTCATATTTGGGCCCGGCTTACAGTTCTTGCGGTTATATGCTGCGACCATGGCGGCTCATATTTCTTTGTGGAATTCAAGGGATTTCGACAGCGGCATTAAGCCGTCGGCAAAGCTGTGGCAAACTGTTCAAATAGACCTATGCATTAAGGCGCCTTTTCAGGTAATGCTCAATCTCTTTTACCTGTCAGAAGTAACCACCAACCATTTTGTTCCACACATGATATCCCGCAAGTAATCTCGACGATTTTGTAGCTCGTGTTTGAAATATCCGCTCGAGATGAGACCTACGTCGCGGCACTGGATGACATTGAGCTCTTTAATGAATGCGAGATGTTAATGAGCAACGTGATCTGCCATGAACCAACATTTTTTTGGCCACTGGATGTAGTGCCGTACCCACCGGCCACAGAGGCGGTTCCTGACTTATCTCGTATGAATTAAGTTAAATGCTGCGGTTTGCCCAACAAGTTTTTGTTCAGCGTGTTTGGTTGAACTGTAGCCCCGAACCACACTGGAGCTTTAAACTGTGCATTTGACAGTGGAGATTTATGCGGATGGGTGGGTCGTAAAGATAGTCAGATGACCTGGGCCGTTGTGCCGTCGAATTCGTCCAACGGGCTGGTGGCCTTCAGTCGGTGTACAGAAGTCGGTGAGATATCGGCAATGACATATATCATCAGTCCAATAACGAGGTGCCCACTGCACCATGAGGATCAGTGCTTCTTTAAGGTGACCAACAGAGCATTAATAATGTTTGCCAAACGCTTTAAAATTTGGTATTATCCTTATTGGTGTACGAGTATGACGCGCCTTGTGAGCTATGGTAGCCTAGCTCGAGTGCCTAGAGTCAACTTGATAACTCCTCCTATAGAAGTACCTAACTGTGAGTAAAAACCGTTTATGAGCGAGAAATTGTTATCGGTTTTTGTAGGCTCGATACAAAGGAACCGCGCAAAAGGTTATTGAACTAGAACTCGAACTACACACAATCAACGCTTCAGAAAGGCGATCACTCTGGAGAAATGGGCCAAATCAATTTACCGAATGGGAGAATGTCACAATATACCTGTTGCACCCTCCGCCGTCTTTCTGGTTAACATTAAAAGTGGTCTTCTTCGAAGACGAATCATCGATCGAACTAGACGATATTCAGTTCCAGGAGGGCAATGTCGGTACTCACAACTTTTCTAACACTGGCTCTAATAACTGCACTGTGGTTACCAGCTTCTTCAGGCCTGTGTTTTGTTTTACTTTTACTTACTGTTTCTTTGTAATTTATTTACAGGCTTGACAGCACCACCGGCCGGCAGTCATGGTACGATTGGTGTTTGCGGCAAAATATACAGTACCTAAGTTCTAGCATATTCACCCGTACAGGTTATCATATCCAAATGAGCGCACTTTATGGCAACTTATTTGGAGCAACTGCCGTGTGCGCTATCCTAATTATATGGTCTTATTATTGGCGACGCCTGCGTCAGGTACGATTTGTTGCAGGGATTATGTTAAATAATTTAAGATGATGATGTTTTTGCAGCTAATAATAATTTCTTAATACAGGGTGGAACAAGCCATAGATTAGCGCGTCTTAGCATTCCGGATCACTTAATTAAAGAGTTTGAAATGCCAAGCACTGCGCTAACGTTATGTAATTACCCTCTAGGGAATCACTGTTTATAGTGCAAGGCCAACAAATTAGATTTAAATTTTGGCGTGGATTCATAACGCTTGCTTTTTCTTCAGTAAACGAAGTTCTAGGAGAGAGCCGGTTTTGTCGTGTTAGCTTGGCACGGCTGGCGTTCACAATCAGTCCCGTGACTGACTTGAGCCAAACTAAAACGTCTACACTTGTTGCGGTTAAATTCATGGAAGAACCACATACGACGGAAGACGAACGGTGCTTCCTGGCGGAAATCGCAACATTTATGACCGTGGGCCGCCATAAGAATGTTGTTTGCTTACTTGGAGTAGTTTTAAAAGGTGCACAATGAGTTATGTTCACATTTTACTTTAGTTACGTCATTAGGAGGTGTTGGTAGTAGCTTTTCTTAATCGCTTAGTCTCATGAAAACTCAGCCACCTGTATTATAATAGCGTCTCATAGCGCGCTCCTTCTTTAGGACGCTTACTGACTGTAATGGAGTATTGTGAAAACGGGTCACTACTGAGTTACCTGCAAAATCCCAGCAACTACTGCAATGTTAAGGCAAACAGAGAGAATCCCGAAGCCGTAAACGAGCTCCAAGTTTTGGTTGATCTTGTGGTACAAGTAGCAGAAGGAATGAAATATCTGGCAAGCCGAGATATTATTCACAGGGATCTTGCGGCGCGAAATATTCTCTTGGATTCCAACCTTGTTGCCAAAATAAGCGATTTTGGCTTGGCGAGAGCAAGCAGCCAGTATGTCCTGCAACGGCCCAAGGTACAGTCCAAATATTTTAAAGAGCAAAAGCTCGCAGCCATAAATTCTAGTTGTTGCGACATTTACATTTATTTCTTTTCACCTGGCAGGTGAAACTGCCATTAGGCTGGATGGCTCCGGAGACGTTAGTGCCAATGGAAGGCCGATACAGTGATCGCAGTGATGTCTGGTCTTTTGGTGTGGTAGTGTGGGAATGCTTTACCTTTGGTCAACCACCGTATTCTCAACAGTTTCCCCAAGGACTAAATCATGAACACTTGCATCAGTTCCTCCTCGACGACAATCGTCTGCAACTGCCGGCAATTTGTCCACAATGGCTGTAAGTTGCTAAGTTTAAAAGAGAGACGATAACTGGCGGCGTTAGCGTATAATGGATCGATTATTTTCGATTTTTGGGCCAAAGATCCAGTTTGGTACTCGACTGCTGGATTACTGTCGCACTCAATCGACCATCGTTCAGTCAGATCGTGTCGAGAATGGACGCCAGCGTTGGTACAGCCAACAACGACCTTTAGGTGTTCCTTCCCCGACAGTTCAGATTTAAGAAATGGTGGAAACCTGTGGCAATTGATCGTTCTACGTACACAATTTTTTTGACATCGAAATTGCAATTTTGTCGAAGTGCAGTGACTGAAGCAGAATAAAGATTTGTAATGTCGAGAGTGGAAACACATTTTTCAATAGAAACGTGAGGAAAACCGGGCTCCGTGGTAAAACAGTCTTCACTTCTGTGTGCGTTTCCCAGCAAAATTTGAAAGAGTATGGTGACTATGGTCCATAATGAGACTTTTGGTGATTTGCATTTAAATGTTTTTGAATCTCCACAGCTTCGCAAATCGGATCTTGCGCGCAAAAAACGGCTTACCAGATCAATAACCTATACAAATCCTAGGACTACAGAACGTTATACCACGTTAATCACGTAAATCAATGCAAGAACGTTTTGGGAAGGCGCGAAAGCGAAAGTTTCCGTGTATGCATGTAAGTATGAGGCTATGAGCATTCTGCCGTTTCGCATTAGTCCAACCCCAGTTTTCGGATTTGGCTGTTCACTTTGGCAACTTACTTTGGATTTGCGACAGCTTTTATAGGTTAAACACAGTTTGAGCCTAACACATATGAATCGCACAAATTCTGAGACGTTGTACTAAAGGGGAAACTGGCGTATGGTGAATGTTTTACCCTTTTATAATGGACATCTGTACGCCATCACGTTATGTTTAATAAATTCAACTTTCCATGCTGTAACATTTCCGTGCTTTTTGAGCTGCCGCCACAGTGTGGGCAGTAATTTTTTTAGTGATAAGCATCGCTCGTCATGCGAAAAGAGAATCAAAAGGAAATGCTACAATTATATCGATCACTTTGGCCCATGATCGCTCCAGTTATTGTACCGTTTTTTTCTGAACCGCAATAATTTTTTCTGGACTCGAATCGTGTTAACATCGCGCAAAATACAAATAAGTGCAATTTGCATCTATACTCTGGGTATTGAAACAGATGTCAGATCTGTATTGGTGCTACACAGAGGACATAATATGTAGATGGGTGCTAATTAAGTGTTTGTGCAGAATCTGCAGATTACCCTCTGTAGGGAAGAGACAATAAATGAGGAATCTGTCCGAGATGAGGTGGAACGGGGTCGCATCTAATGTACTCACGGTTCTACCACGCGGGTTCTCATGTTCTTAGCTTCCTGTTACTGTTAGACTGACTTGCATGGAGCCTGACAACCACAAACAGGACAGAACACAGGTGTTACGGGAGAGTACATGATGCTGATAGATTAAAATGGAGCCATTTACAGAAAGAAACATTAAAGATTGATGAGTGGAAGCAGCAGCACAAACGGATTGCTCAAAACATGGCTAATGGATTAGCACAATGAAGTAATTCAATTTTGCATTAAGTTATTCGTGCGCTTAATTGAATTTGTCACATATCTGACTGCCAAATAAAAACTTTCTACTGTGCAATAATAATTAATTTTTCCTGTTTGTCAATTTTTGTAATGAGAACTTTTCACCACTGTAATGAGTTTTCCTGTTTACCGATTTTTAAAACGAGAATTTTCCCATTACTACTGTGAGAATTTTCCATTTTCCCTGGTGAGATTTTCTCCGCGGTACATCAGCCATTATTGATTTTGAATTACAAATTGTTTTATACTCGTATTACACGGACGTTGCGTGAACGATTGAGAGGTCGAATCTTTACTGCAAGACGCTGAAATATTACATCCTAGGCTCCTAGCGCGAGTTAGGCGAGTATAAAAGGCGCCTTAACAGTCGGACCGTCGCAAACGGTGTCCGTGCCCGGTGCTGCATCGTGTGGGCAGGGATCGGTGTAGCGTTCCCAGAATAAAGTTGTCGCTTCATGGTAAAATCTTTCAATATAAGGTAACCTAACTCCCCGGAAAGCACTACGCAGTGCCGGCATAGATGTCCGTGTGAGCTCGCTTTTGTGAGTATACTGATGTAGAGAAAGTGTATTAGCAAGTGTAAAGCTCTGTATAACGTTTTGATATGCTTACCGGATACCGATTGCTTTGCTGCACTTTCTGACTTTGTTTGCTGAATTATATTACATAGTCTAAAGACTCTAAATGTCATGCGGCAGCGAATTTATTTGCAGTTTCCGAGCAGCATCAAGATTTCAGCACTGTAAGTATAGTCATCGGCTGTCAAATGCCAATGTGTCACAGCTGGTGTTACTAACCATTGCAAGTTGCTATACCGGAACTGATAATACCTCGTATATTATCTCCCTGAAAAAGATTGCTGACGCTCTATCATGAACAACACGTCGGTTTTAATTCTGCCATCTTGGGCAACTGTTACCAACGAAACCGTGACAGCCGCACTGACATGTTCACCATGGTCATTCCGGACGCTCTTTATGCTGATCTGCAGCACACTGATGCTGTTGTTCAATTCCATCCTAGCGACAATTTTCATCGCCACCCCGGAACTTCATTCCTCCTTCGCCACATACGTCACCGCTCTCATGCTCTTCAACGCGCTGAAATCCATCCACGGGTTTATCAACGTCGTGCAGACACTATGCCCGCACATTTTGTACGACACGGCGTTATGCAATTTCCGCAATTACGTGGGTTGGTGTATACTGGGCCTGCCGGATAATCTCCACATCATTATCGCGATCAACCGGGTGTGGGCCATCGGCTTCCCGGTTTCCTACCGGCATTATCATTCCATGAAAGTGGCTGTGGCATCGGTCATCTTTGTTATCATCTACGTGCACGCTATCAATTTACCCGGTGTAGTGATGGATATCCTGTATTATCGCCAGCCTATCCCCTCGTACGGCTGCTACATTAACTCGGAAGGCATGCCGGCATGGTACCAAACCGCGATGCTGCTGGTGTATGAATTTCCTGGATTTTTCGTGTTTTTTGCTTGGATTTTCATCGTTATAAAACGGAGGAAGCAGAGAAAGATTACGCGCGGAGCGGCGCGGAGTGGGACCGTTCAGCGTAGCGGTGTTACCAGGGTTACTTCCGGTCATGGAACCGCCACACACACCGTCGGGACAATTGCGTTCAAAGTAAAGAGACGGGGAGCTTCGTTTGCACTGTTCACGGCATTGACGATTAGTGCGGTCATCAGCTGGCTTCCGTATGAAACGCTGTTCAGTATATGGTCATTCCGATCACTTACTCCATTTGAGTTTACATTAATTCCGTATCTGCTGTCGGTGAACACAATCCAGCCCGTCCTGGATCCCGTACTCATTATTCTCACGTCCCAAAATACCAAAGCAGTGTTCCGGAAAAGGTTTTGCGGTTAATTGCGCATTTGCGGTAGTGAGTCAAGAATTGTGTGATTATCTTCTTGTGTGGTTATTCGAAAACAATATGAGCTAGAAAAGCTTATAAATTAATAAATTTTTCGAAATTTGTGTGGGAGCAAACAAGCAGTGTGCAATAGGATTTGGTTTGCTACATACAGATTTTCAGCGCTATTGTATACATAACGGGTAAACCAACATCACACCCGAATTTCGATTTGCTGATAATAATTATTATGATCGTGCACTGGACTTCGAAAGGGTACGAGGTATTATACAACACCAACACATATGCATAGCGCCATACGGCTGTGAATGTAACATGTACTTGAATGGACAAATTTTCAATTAAAAAATTAAACACACCCTTCTGGAATATTTGGATCCCTCGTCCCGACTTTTATAAAACATACAAACGCCCGGGGCGTGCAATTCGGATTTTGCTCTAGATGAATTCTGCATTATTGATCCCGCACAACTGAAACAGTGTGTTGGCACCACAAATTCTGCACGGTGATGTAAGGTTATTTTCATCTTTATAGCAGTGACATTATCGTACTTTTTCATACCGAAATGGGTAACAACTCTTATGCGCAAAACTGTACTTCGACATCAGTACGCCAGTAAATAATTATTACATACTATATACCTTGCAGTACTTCTTACTCGGTACAATAAATGCCATGTCAGTCTTGTATACCGTAAGTACCTTCCAACAAATTCATCTGCCGTTGTCCCGAGAGTGACGTCGTTGCACTGCCCCGAGGAACACTTTAATGACAGACTCCATACACATGTTCTGGCGCCCGCCAAATAATGGTATAAAACAACGAGTACTGAAGATACTAAATTTAATATCTGAATGTAAAATAAGGGCTAGAAAATATATTGGAGGTATTAAATTTGTTTTTGTGAAAACTGAACGTCAGTGGCCATCATTCTAAGAGATAACACCGCGGTCCGTCCGCGCTATCTGTATTTTTATGACATGGCAGTACACAATTAAGTATTGATCCGGTTTGTACTTATCGAGTACGAATTTGCAGTACTTTGCTAACCATAAGCGCGCCGGTATCTAAGCGGCATACTCAGGATGCTTACGTCGCCACTAAATAGCTTTATCTGTCAGAGATTTGACGGAAAGGAAGAAGCTAGACGAGCAAAAAAACAAGAGCGAGTAAAACTATACGTCCATAATAATATCTTAAAACCACGTTCTATTTTCCGGTATAAAACCTACGGGTACGGGAAAATAAATGCGGAGCACCTGCTCTAATTAAACTTTTACGAGTACATCATGACGTATTTCTGCACGCTGCCGTTTTCCTTCTTGCATCCATATATTTAAATGTAAGCACCGTTATCGGCTTTCCTTTATTGTCTAATTATTCTGAACAGTATATCATAAATCATGAAATAAAACTGTTTTAGGCCGGCTGACGTACTTGATCATTCAGTAAATTATTTTCAGAATTGTCCTTGATCAAAGAGCTGCTTCATGCTTTTCCCAAGAGCAAAAATTACTAATTTACATTCGCGGTTGATGCATCCCATGAAGGTCACTCTGCAGTCTGTAATAATTTGCTCTAGTGCCCAAATATGCACAACACGTTATTACATGTTCACGGTGTATCTTGCAATCGCCTTTGATTAAGGGTTAGATAGAAAGCGTCCCAGATAAGGGGTTGAAACTGCAGCGGGAATGTCCGCAGTTTTACATATATTTATAATATCTATTTATTTAGTATATGTTTTTGCTCG